TGATCAAAAAGCTGCTTCCCAGTAGTGTTTGGCTGGATGGCGAACTCCAGCTCCGCATCCATGGTGGTGACCCGGACATTGATCTGGAAAAGAGGATGAGACAAGTCAGACTTGACTGAGTGCCCTTTTCTCTCAGTAACCTTGTGCTAAACTACTTAGCAGTGCATGCATGGTGTGTTCCTCCTGCTCCTCCATTACCACGCACGCACGCGCGCGCACACACGCACACACACGCACGCCCACACACACTCACTCACACACACACCCACACACACACTCACACACACACACACCCCGCATGGTATGTTCCTCCTGCTCCTCCATTACCACACACACCCACACACACACACGCACACCCACACACACACCCACACACACACCCCCCGCATGGTATGTTCCTCCTGCTCCTCCATTACCACACACACCCACACACACACCCACTCACACACACACACCCACTCACGCACGCGCACACACACGCTCACACACACACACGCACACCCCTAGTTTAGATCCAAATGTACGGCCTCTTTGCTTTCATAAAACATGTTTACACTTTAGTCTGAGCTGTTTTCCTACAAAAATACTTTGATAACAGTTAATATATTTTCCCATACGCCATCTCGTTTGATCCTAACAGCTGAGTGAGGGAGCCTGCAAGGCTGCAGTGGAATGGTTGGCCTCACGCTGCAAAGCAACAGTGCATCACGAAGGCAAGAATTTTCCGGGCCCTTCAACCTGGTTATTTACTTCCTGAGAACGCATGCTAAGCTAGGGAGTGAAAAGAAGCGATGAGGATCTATAAACCGGAATGTTTATAGCAACATTAGAAACTAGCCTAAGTCGTGAACACAGACACGGGATATGACACGCTGAGAAGACAGCTTACGCCGCCGTTTAAAATGGTAATCATGAAGACAGTGGAAACACAGAAATTGCTTCTAACATTAAAAATATGACAAACAAAATGGTCCATACTCTATCAATGCAAATGTGCGAGATATATCTAGACAAGAGATGACAGTAAAGTGCAAAAAAGGAAGTGCTGTTAGGTGGGAAAGCACCTGAGGAACTGATTTGGCGGTGATGGGAGGGCGTGAAAAATGTTTCTCATGCTGCCACATAGTTGTTTTGTTTCAAAAAACAAAACAACCAAACTGACATCAAGGTAGTTTTCAAATTTAACACTTGAGAAAACCCAGATTTATCTGCATATGAAAAACAGTCAAGTCTGGCTATTTTATCTCAGTCCCACAGGAAAA